TACCTGTGGAACACACACTATTTATACACTCATACACTTATTTATCTAACACTCATACTCAGTCTACACCTAAAATTTGCACATAATATACAGTACCTGTACATACAAAAACTGTCTATTGTAATATACCTGCACATACAATTGTCGATTTATATATTTTTATTTTATTTTATTTTTTTTCTGTGTTTTTTGTTCTGTCACTGTCATTCTGTTACACTGTGGAAGCTTCTGTCACGAAAACAAATTCCTCGTATGTGTAAACATACCTGGCAATAACGCTCATTCTGATTCTGATTCTGATTCATCTATGTTTGTCTTCCAAATGTTAATGAGAGGCTCCTGCATGTCTATCAGGTAAAGGCAGCTTCTGTTCTTTTTAAGGTTAACAATACAAGTACAGCTCTAGCTGTTTCTAACTGTATCTGAGACATGCTTCTGATTTGTAAGATATGTTTGTTTACAGTACTACATTTACAATGTAAATCTATAGGTTAAAAGAAATGTGAAGCTTGTATTTTTTGGCTAAATATAAGTGCTGTTTGAGCTGTACAACTGTCCCAAATTTTACTACTGCTGAACTTCTGTGTAGTTATTGTACATGTTTGCATCCCTATAATTAGCCTATTTGTGAAAGTTTAAGGTTTAAGGGTTTAGTGTGGACATAACAGGAGCTGAAAGACTGGATATGACTTAATTTAAACAAGGTTAATAAAGCATTATCGTCACACTAATTTCATGCATTATGTTTAAGTTTTGTGGCTGTACTTCCGAGACCATGTGTTTTATTTTTACCATTTACTCTGGTGAAACTGCTGTGAGACACTGTAATTTTTTTAGAAACTGAAGAATTTTTTTGTAAGAATCTGTGATAAACAGCATGTCACAGAAGCAGTCAGTAGAGCTTAACCTGCATTAAGTTAAGAAATAATCATTTAAAGACCCCATGAAATTACATGAAAAATGTACTCTGCTTTCCTGAACTGATGTTTTTCCTACTGAAAAAGGCAGTTTGGGTGGTACAAAAGTTTGTTTTAGTATATACCAACAGTGTATTTCGTCAGTATTTAGGAGTGGACTAGGAGTAGACTTACCTAAAGAAAGGTACGTTTACACACACACACACGTGTGTGTATATATATACATATATATATATATATATATAATTCATATAAAATAAATATTAAACTAATATAATATAGTATAATATAATATACTACTATATTATACTAGGTTGCTATGACAATTACACCGATTAAAACCAATCCCTCTTCTTCAAACTGAAAAATAAGAGTTTGCTCAAACTGAATTTACCTGAGTAACTGAAACTGTCTTTGTAAGCTATTTGTATAGGCCACTCAAAGCTAACAGAAATGCACTAAAAGCCACAAAACTCTTACTTTGATTTCATAAGGGACTTTAAACAAGATACTCTTGTAATAATCTGATATATCAGTTCAAATTTGTTCTGGTAATTTTGGTTAAATTTTCTTTTTCATGGAGGAGCCACGCCACATACCATATCGGTGCTCTGTTCGCTGTGGGGGCCATGTCCTGTGGTGGGCTACACTGGTATAGTAAACATCGTCCTTGATAGGTGAGAGGTTCCCCTCACTCCCCTCACTGTTATTCTCCACGGTGATCTCTATGGAAACACCAATCAGAGCATTACAGCCACAGCCCCTCTACTCAGCCAGTGAGTTGTGGATTATGACATTTTCAAGGCTCTCGATGTGTGTTTTAGGATCGGAAGTGCCATTCTATAGCACTAAGGCATTAAAAATGGCATACTGATCTTAAAACAGTATTGAAAGCTGGCTGACATGAGTTGCGCCAGAGTAAAACAGCAATGTTTAACATGATGGTTGTCTAGGTGACAGTGTGTGGCCTGTTAAGAGTACGGTACCATTTGTATACTAGAATTAATCCTTTAATTATTAGTGAATCTGAAATAGAATCAATGGCAAAGGTCAACCAAAAGTGACTCCAAGGGCTTACAGAACACTGGAACTGTAATCATGACATGTAAGGAAAACAGAGGAACACACAATAGGTGTCTCTACGAAAGACACTAAAGGAAGGGAGGGAGAGTCCAAACATCATGTGACCACACTAACCAATGGTAGGGACTGTCATTGGTCTTCTCTGAGCGGGTGGATAGCCGTGATTCGTCCTACGGCCAGAATGGTCCAGTCGATCCGAGCGTCCTGTTGAGGGAGAGCTCCCTAAAATCTTCAAAAGCAAATATTAAAATGTTAATCAAAGCCTGTGATGCTTTAAAAATAGATATCCTATTAAAAAAAGATTGCCATCATCCCCAAAATGAAAAAAAAAATTAAAAAAAATTAAACTGATTTCTTTAGAGAACGAGATTCTATCAAAACAAGTAGGATGAACCCGCCAAAACATTTAACATAAACAATTGAAACAAACTCTGACAACAACATGAGCAGGGTTTTGGCAGAAATCAGATGCTTAACTAAAGACCATTTTGGTTTTTGTTCTGCTCCTCTTTAGTTCATATGGTATAGTTTTCAATGTAGTTTGTGATGAGCTTTTTAAATCATATCATTCTAAATTATGGTCTGCCTACACTCGTAATGTAATGTGTTGAGTATATAAAACTGTCATTACAACTATTTAGCGTGCTCAAAATCTGTATATGACCGTATTCAGGACCTTAACCACCACAGACATCCTGGGAGATTTCCCTGGAATTTTCAGAATAATGGACAATTTTTCAATATCTCATTCCTGAAATTGTCATTTGGTCCCCCTCGAATATTTAGTACTATTAGGTCAGTAGTGCAAAAACCTTGATGTATGAGCAGGTATTAGAAGAAAACAAATATGGGAAGCAAAACACATCAAAAAAGGATATATTTGTACTACTCAATCCAAATAAGTGAGGATGAGTTATCTGTTCAAGCCCAAACTCGATGCCCAAACAAACCAGCTTTGACCGTTCTAATCAGTGGCACCACATTCACAGGCTTTAATAACATGTCCATGGTGCACTGTTAAATGTGCAGATTAGCCATATTTTTGGTCTTTCCAGCTTCCCATTAACAACTGTCAACCAGTGTTTTCCAACCCTGCCCCTGGAGGCACCCCAACACTACACATTTTTTAACTCTTCCCAATCAAACATATCTAAATCAACTCATCAGTTCATGAGTAGAGACTCCAAGACCTAAAATGGATGGGTCAGATAAGGGAGACATCCAAAATGTGTCCTTACGGGGTGCCTCCAGGAACAGGGTTTGTATACACTGCTCTAAACCAGAAGTCTTCAACCTTGCTCTTGGAGACCCACTATCCTGCAAAGTTTATTTCCAACCTGTTTCAATACACCTGCCTGTGAGTTTTCAAGTGATCTTGAGGACATGGATGAACTGGTTCAGGTGATTAGGGTTGGAGCTAAACTCTGAAGGATAGTGGGTCTCCAGGAGCAGGGTTGAATACCTCTGCCAGAAACTATTAACATGGACTCTAAAGTATAAGTTGGAGGACTGTGGAGACATTGTCATTTGATTTGTGACTCTTCTTACAACAGAAACAAGAAACACTCAGAAATGGCCTTTAGGTAATCAAAACAAATCTACACATCCAAAAAATTTCACTCAACACTAGGAATCAAACAAAGTCACATGAGATCTAAATCAAATCAAGAAAGTCAAGAAAGATCATACAAGCTAAAATCCCCCCCAAACATAGTAATATCAAAAGGTGAAATCAAACAACAACATAAAGTTAAGCAACGTCTAAAAAAAGCAAAACAAGAAAAACAAAACCAAATAAACCAATGACAGACTGGGTGGAACACCATGAACAGAAGAATGGTTTAATCGATTGTCGATGAGAACACAAAGCAGTTGGTAGATGAGGAGAGGGTGGAAGTGTGAGAAGAGGGGTAGGAGACACACACCAGGGGTTCATCCATTGCCCTGTTGAGTCTGGCCACAGAGTAGGCCCTAATGTCCGTGTGATGGGTCCTGCCAACCTCGCTCAGCCTGCCCTCGCTCCGGAACCTGCGTTGGGGATGGTGAAGGTGTGGATGATAGTGGTAATGATGGTACGACTCCCGCATGCTCCTTGTCTCCGGAATGGTATCCAGGAAGTCCTCCTCCACGCTGCACTGCCGGGTCAGTGACCTTTTCCTGCCAGCAGCCAGAGCACGCCTTTCCACAGGCCCCTCACTGTGGATCACCCGCATGTTGGGGCCAGAACCCACCCGCAGCGGGCTGCACCCCGTGTATGAGTGGTAGCTTCCACGGTAGCCAAGCGAGCCCTCCTCCTCGCTCCCGCAGTCTAGTCCGCTGTCGGGGCTCTTGGTGTTCTGCCTGCTACTGCTGCTGCTCCAGCACGGTGGCCGCTCATCTATGGAGCTGTAGCGTGGAGAGGAGCGCTGCCTCTGCAGCCTGCGGACACTCTTGCTTGGGGAAAGGTGGTTAGACTTCCGTGAGTCCTGGTCGTAGGGATGCGGGCTCCTGCAAGGAGTGCCTGGACGAGCCTCCTCGAAACGCAGCCGCTGACCCATGACCTCCACCCCGGTGTCCAGTTCCTCCTCGGCAACTTCCGGGATGCTGTGTAGCCGCTTGTGGGAGCGCAAGGAGCGCTGTCGTACCACCTCCCGCTGCAGGTCCCAACTGTCCCGGTCCACCGCAAGGTCCTGACGCCTGTAATATGCCTTTTAGAAGCCGGAAAGGGTGATTGACAGAGGAGCCAAAGTTTCAGTTAGATTTGGACGTTTTTCAATTTGTTAAAATCAGGATTTTTTTTGGTGGGTTTTGTTTGATGTTGTTAGAACAGGCAGAGAAGATAAAACAGTGTGCAAATAGAGAACAAAATGGGAAAAGAAAGACAAAATAAAGACAGAATTAGTTATCGGAGGTCATGGTCGAATGTAGGGCATGCAGTCTCATTCCATGATGGACATGACATGCGACGGAAGGGAATCTGTAGAAGGAAAACATCAGGAAATGTAAACCGTACAGAAAATGAGAACTGGAGTTTATCACATATGCAGGGCTTATTGAGACAATCCACTAACAAAGCACAGTCCAACAACAACAACAAAAACTACAGATGAGAATTCAGAACACAGAACATTAAGAAATGAATAACAGGCAATCAAAGGATCAAGACTAACGAATCTAAGGACTACACAGTACATGAATAAAAAAAATAAAAATAAAAATGGAGATTCATCTGCCAAGCAACAAGTGAATTGTGTTAAAAAGTAGACCAGTAACCTGGAATGGAAATTTAAAAATATATTATTAAAAAGGCAAATCTATTTTCAAGCCTATTTTCAAATCTAGTTTAAAATTTCTACATCATGATACACTTAACAGATATTTTTTAGATTAAGAGGTGATTGCTACAGCAGCATATTTTTTTTTAATTATTGTTGTTTTTTAGTATACAAGTTTGACACCACTGTATATATATATAGTTTTTTTTGTATCATACCAAACTGTAGCACAGATGTCTGCAGTTCGAGGCAAATCATATCTCAAAACAGTGGAATATTCTGTTATATATATATATATATATAAGGTGTTAGTTTTCATACCACAATCCCAATAGCTGCCCAGGTCTCCAAAAACATAACTCAAAACAAAAATGACAAAAACTGAAATATAATATACCATTTATTGCTTCATATATTCAATACATCATGTATTTTTGGAACCCTTTCTGTATAATACTTATTCATAAATATATTTTGAAAGAAATCTTAACAGTATTAAACATTTTTCATGAAAAGACAGATATTCACAAAATTTTAAAATTACACTGAGAAAAGTAAAACTTAACAGAAGCGTAACCAAGAGACAAACATAATCAAAAGTGAATAACTGTTTCATTTAAGCAGACTTTACTTAAATGAGATTCCCAAAATGCCCTTGGAATGATATGTTCATTTTCACCTGATCATGTAGGAGCTAATTTGACACTTGAAACAGGTTCAATTTATGTAATACTTATGCATAGAATACACAAACAAACCCTGTATTTATTTAATAATAATCACAAACGCATACAACCATGGCGTTATATTCCATGAGGTAAACACTTCAGGCATAGCAAACACATACACACTGTATATACCTGCACATATGTGATTGTCATATGCAATAAATCTAAGAATCTACAAGGAGATTATAGAGTAATCCAGATCAATTTTTACTAGATACAAATGCATAGTGATGCAATACTTAAAACTGAACAACAGAGTTTGCAACATCTGGAGAGCGTAAAGCATATTAGATTGTTTACTCATGCATTGCGTGTGCAGCCTCAGGTTAAGCCATTCAGATGTATCGAGCTTTGTATGACTGGACAGGCTTATACAAAGCTGGCTAAATGACTGGATGACGTCGAAGTTCTGTAGTGCAAAGCAACCCAACCCGCTAACCCACTTTTAGGACCCAGGAGAGACTGAGGATGGGGTGACCTGTTAAGATCCTGCCGCTCAAGCTTTTATGCAACATCAGAGGTCTACCACCTCCTGTTTTAAATTCACCATCACAAAAACACACAAAAAAAACAACTCTAGTCATATATTCAGAACAAATCCACTGAGTTACTTTATAACAAAAATACTCTTACCTCTACAGACCACCTTAACTGAACTGCAGTTGGCCTTTCAAGCCTATTCTATAAGGTTGAAGTGTCAACCATCTAGTACCACCCCTTGGGAGGAGCCCTACAGAACACGGCATACTCCATCCCCCTTCGTCTGTCCCAGCCTCTAGCCTGCGGCCCTGTGGCCCACGCCCAAGACAGACGGCGACCGGAAGGGTGTCTGTTCCATACCTTTAATGTGTTGTGTGAGTTGATGCCGCGGCGGCGCCCTTCTTCCAGCTGCATCTCCGAGTACAGCTCCTCCTCATCCTCCTCCATGATGTCAGACAGATCAGAGCCCCGACTGCTCTCAGTGTAGTACTCCTCACTGTGGCTATAGTGATGATGCTGGAGATATACACACAGAGATCTTCATGATTTAACACTCCAAGAAGAAATCTTTAAAACTTAACAGAAATCTCACGTAATTAGAATTACACTCTGGTTTTCTAATGTTTCTGCTTCCTAATTTTGCCCATGAATACTTTTTTCTTAATTGGTTTTGCAAATGTCTTTGTTTTGTTATTTGTATAACTTTGATGTTTTGCTTGGTTTCCTTGGATTTTGTATTTGTTTCATTTGTGAATTATTAATTTATGAATCCAAGGAAAACAAGCAAAGCTTCAAAGTAAAAAAAAATTATAATAATTTCCCTCCCTATCTTTAGACCTGTGATTTATTTGCATGTTCGGTTACACTTTACTTGAAGGGGTGTGCATAAGACTGACATGACACCTTCATAATCATGACATGACACCAACATAATCATGACATGACACATATCATGAATATGAAGGAGGTTTTATGTCTTATGCACACCCCTTCAAGTAAAGTGTTACCGCATGTTCTTAAAAAAAGAAACACAACACAAAAGTAAAATAATGTAATGAGATAAAAAAATAAATAAATAAAGGAAACAGATAAATAAGCACAAAGTGGCCCTGAACATTATTCAGGCCCATATTTGAGGGCCTATTTGGCCTACATGCAAAAATGTATGAATGCTATATTTTATCTCAGATTTTATACTTGCCTGATTATAAAGATATATAAAATGTTATTTGTAGCGATATTTCTTTGTGTCAGGATAACTGTTTGCATTTTTCATTATTTTATGTTAACATTAAGTTACAAAATATAGTTATAACCAACAATTTGTAATATACATTATTAATTCAATAAAATATCAACATAATATAAGTATAATATAATTCAATATAATATATTGTAATATATATAATATAACACCCGGAATGTACATTTTGTAATAATTTGTAAAGCATAAATAAACAGAAATGTCCATTACTTGTGTTGGTAAAGTTGTCAGCTGACTCAAAACTCCCCCCTGTGCAGCACAAAAAGATTGCTATTTCTTAGACTCACATGTCTGCCCAGCTCAGAACCTCTGAGAAACTCATCCACAGAAGCACCTCTTCGCCTGGCGTGAGGGGAATCGTACCCATCCTCCTCCTCATCTGAGTTTAATGAATGCAGAGCATTACCCCTGTCACTGAAGATGTTCCTCCTCTCCACCTGAAACAGATCATGTACATTAAACTCTGCCATACTGCTTCAAAGCATTCCAGCAATCCTCCATACTGACACCTTGTTTATCAACTTCCTCATTTAGCCCAACAAACCAGTGGACTTACCCTGCTGTTCGGGGCGCTCCTCTGCGCCACCTGGCGGGCTATAGCACGAGCCACTGTGTTGGGAATGGGCACTCCCTGAGGTTGAGGCAAGATCCTCTGAGGGGATGGTGAGCGCCGGCCCTCTATGTGAGGGGGCTCCAGTGTGTGTCCCGGGTGTGAAGGGGGCGGAAGTGGTGACGGGGCTCTGGGATGCGGCTCCCAGGGCTGCCCCATTCGCCTGCCCATCTCTGGCTCTTTGGCATGGGGGTCTCTGGCACTTGGTAGGAGTTTGGGTTTAGACATGGGGTACGGGGAAGGCGAGGGGTGTACGTGGGGGTGTGAGGGAGGTGGATGAGGGTGGGGTGGTGGGACGGAGTGGGGCTGAACATGCGGTTGTGGATGGGTTGGGGGGTAGGCTTGTGGGTAGGGAGGCGGGTGAGGGGGGTGTCCGTGGGAGTGAGGCACCAGGAGGTTGTGCGGAATGGTGGCCACGGGAGAGTCCTGCGACTCTCCTTGTGCTGATATTGTCCTCACAACGACCTCCTGCGCTTCCAGACACTGGATACGGTTCAGTTCCACCGTAACAAAATCTGCTGTGGGGTACATTATCTCTGCTATCTGAAAACAAACAAACAAAAGAAATATGGGATAAACAAATGTGCCTTTGCAAGGATAAACCATTAGTGTTTTCTGCAGATACAGCCAGGCAGTTACTCAGATTTGTACTTGACCTGCTATTTTTATTAGATATTTTCACTGCCCCCATAATAAAAATGATCAACATTATTTTTAGCATTACATTTTGTGTTAAAAATAAAAACATTTAATTTATATAGTTTTATTAAAATAAAAAATATATTAATACAAATATAAAATACTTCATTGATAATTTTAAATGTGATAGAAATACATTTCATATTTTTAATTTGGAAAATAATTATAAATCAAAATATAATACATATATAAACAAAATAATCTACATAATGAAATAATATATATTTTAATACATTTAATTTTGTTTGTTAAAATTAAATTTTTATGTACAATTTATTTTTTAATTATTTACAAGTACATACATATTATAATTTATAGTATTTTATTTCCAATAATAGCTGGAAATTACACACCTATATTTTAATTATGTGACAGAAATAAATTCATAAACACTTTTGTTAGAAAACAGCAGCATATGGTGATTTGTTTATCATTTTCAACCAATTACAGATGATATTTATAAGAGTATAACAAGTATGCTCACACTTTTGACAAAAGTTAGACAGATAGATGCTTAATGCATCATAGAAAATCAAATGTTTAAGCTTGCCAAAAACTTTAATTTAATGAATGTAAAACAAGGTGACAAAATTACAGGGTGATGCTTCTTCACACTGGCCCTGGACCATTTAGACATCCTTATTGTTAAGAGCAGCATATTTCAAACCTACTGGTACATGGAAAACATCTCAGAAAAAAAAAAAATTTGTATATACATAAATAATTGTACTTTTTTGTCTCAAGAAAAGAGGTTAATATTATTTCAATATGTGTTTTTGTCACATTGTCCAAAAACTCTTACATAAACCCCTGCATTATATATAACACAGGGGAAACACTGGCCATGAAATGACACAAACGATCACCTGATGGAGCCAGTGAGCAGTGTTCAAAAATGTGAACTAGCACAACATGTTCAACCTCCAAGCTGACCTTAGACCTTTCATTTAGGCCTTCATTAGCAGGGCCCACTGCTTATTGCAGATCAGTAGCAGTTATGCACAAGTGGCATGACGATAGTAAGAATCAGCAACATCACTTCACCTTTTGACCTTTAGTGCAGACTATGTAGCCGATTACATTGGCTCCATTGGAAGTGCCGGTAGGAGTGAGGGAAGGAGGCTTCCAATGGATCTGCAAGACTCCAGGTGTCTGTCCCATCTGAACTTGCACATCCTGAGGAGGTAAAGGAGGACCTGAAAAAAAAAAGAGTTGCTATTCAAGCAAATCTGTGTAGGTCTGCTATTGTGTTTGTGGGTGGGCTGTGACATGCATTCTGCTTTCAGAAACACGTGCATGCTTGTGCATGAAAATTTGATGCATGTGTAATGTGCATGTGGGTGTTTGTGTGCGTGCATTTTACAGCCGTAAGGGATGCCAGCTGGGCATAGACGACAGTGTATTTGCTTATGTCAGCACTCTGAATTTATGTGGGCTGATTCATCTTAATCATACTGAGAGTTTTATGTGGCTGCCAGCAATGGAACGCACCATCTCAGAACCTAAAACACACAATGCTCTGTTATCATTTCAGCTGTTTTGCATAACAGTACAGAGCAGGCATCATTCACTCCATCTCTTGCTTGGTTTTAATTCAAAACATTTAAATGTTTGTCAGGGCTGGTTATCAATACAGATTTCCTAATTGGATTCGATTTTGATTCACAAACTCTCATTTTTTCCTGATTTGAATCTAATTTGGATTCACTTCCAATTAATTTGCGGATATTTCAGTTATAATGTCCATTTTGTTTTTTCATGTTCTTCCATACAGAAATAAATTTTCTCTTTGACAGGTTCAAATCAGAAACTCCTCAAAACAAAATGACTCATAAGAGTGATTTATTTCAGTAATCAGGCTACACTTATCACACTGCATGTTTCCGATTCACTAAAAACAAAAGGCTCATTAGAGTCATTTGCTTGTCAATCTGACTACTCTGCCCATACTGTATGATTTTGATTTGCTAAAAAGAACTGGCTTATAAGAATCACTTACCTGTGAATCTGGGTACTGTGGTCATGCTGTACTACAAATTTCTGATTCACTAAAAAGAATCAGCTCGTCAGAGTCATTTGTTTGTGCATCTGGCTACTCTGGTCATGCTGTACTGTATGTTTTTGATTTGCTATTAAGAACTGGCTCATAAGAATAATTTGTTTTGTATCTTGTTTTTGCATGCAGCCTGTGACAGGTCTTTGCGAAGACTACAAGAACCAGACATGTCCTCTGCACAGACCCTATGGCCAGCTTTAACTCCACTCCACCAAACTCTGGTGTAATGTACAGTAGCCCGATCTTCAAGGAGAAGGAACTGGATGAATATTTTGAAAGATGCCAATCCACAGTCTGACTCGTGATGCAGCCTGGAGTTAAACCACACCATGTTGGTTCATCTGGCCAGAGGAGAATTGCCCCACCCCCCGACTGAGCCTGGTTTTTTGTTCCATTTTTGTCACCAATGAAGTTTGGGTTCCTTGTCACAGTTGACTTTTGGCTCGCTTAGTTTTGGACCCTTACTATTTGGCAATATTACTGACTTGACTGCATGGACACTATCGGATGAGAACTGAACTGAGCTGGATGATGACATCACAGCTGCTTTCTAGATGAACTCATTCTACAATTGATGAAATTTACCAAATTGAATTAACAATGAGCTGATTTCAAATGAATAATGACTGAGGAGCTTTACAGCAGAATTTAATTTTGATAAATTATTTTAACAACTTTTTAACTGCATTTAATTGAGAGATGCCATCACATTTGTTTACTAAAACACAAATTAAACGGCTTTGTAAACTGTAAACGGTTTCCCAGTGACAAGCGCCCACTCAAACGATCAATTAAGAAAAGCCATCCTGATGTCAGAGAGCAGGTAGTCCTGTCACGGGTTTGAAATCTTCGATGGATCACACTAAACCACACTGATCACTTCTCTGCCCACCACATGACAGATCATCAGGGGGAGCGCTTAATCAATGGCCACCCCTCACTGATCAGAGCCCACGGGCCGCTGACCGGTCCAGAGACATCAGGGGCTTGATTGAGTGCCTGTGGAAAGACAGTGGATCTAAAAGTGGAACATTTAAGAGGAACTGGATCAATGCTCTGTAATTGAAAACAGCTCAAAGGCTGTCTTTATCTGATCAGGCCTTCATCTGAGGCTGCTGCTGCATGGGTAAACGCCTGCAGATGGATGTCATGAAATAAAACCCTGCACCGTTAGTCCGCAGGGAAGCCCGCCGATAGGTTTACGTTGCCCTGTGCATATTACAGTCTATAGTTGGGGAACACAATGTGAGCGAGACTAGACCCGAGGGTTCATTTATCTCAAGATGTCCTGAGGCATGCACTCCACTGTGCTGGAAATTCGATAATCTGTGAGCAGGACCGTTCCATCATGAGTGGCCTTCCCTTAATTAACGTTCTATTTCAATTAAAAGTATCAATTAAAAAAAAAATACATCAGAGAGAGAGGCATTGTGGGAGAAAAAACATTCCTGTTAACACTTTAAAAGCATGACTTCCATGTTCTTACATTTTTTAAAACGGAGAGAGAGAAAAAAAACTGGGTTATCTGATATATTGCTTTCCAGCTAAACTGGGTTGAATTGTTTTTCACATATTCCTTTAAGTTTTATTAAAGGTAGCATGTTGTAAAATGACAGTTTATAAAATAAATGACACAATTATAAAATGTATTAACTTTATGAGTTAAATCAGACTACTCCGGTTGCGCTGTATGTATTTGATTCACTAATTCATTAAGAACGACTCATTTCATTTGCTGGGGAATCTGGCTATTATGGTCACACTGTACTGTAAGTTTTTGATTTGCAAAAATTAATTGACTCTTAAGAATCATTTTCTTGTGAATCCGGCTCCTTTGGTCGTGCTTTGTGTTTTTGATTTGCTAAAAAGAACTGGATAATAATAATAATAATTTGCTTGTGAATTTGGCTACTCTAGTTACTCTTTTCTGTAAATTTTTAATTTGCTAAAAAGAACTGTCTCACAAGATTCAATTGCTCGAGAATCCGACTACTCTGGTAGCAATCTATGTTTTGATTAAATTAAATAATTACAAAATTACTTAACTTTACAAGTTAAATGTTGTGCTTTTGCACACCAACCACTATGTAAATACATAAACACACAGCTGAAGACTGTGCTTTGGTATTCACCATAAGAATGATGTTTGGCGATTTTATAATTCACAGTTTCAACTAACACTGGCAAATAGATTCATTGCTGTCATGCTTATTTAATGAAGATACACTACCGTTCAAACGTTTGGGGTCAGCAGTGTTGTTATTAGTAGTTAATTAATATTTTTATTCAGCAAGGATGAATTAAATTGATCAAAAGTGACAGACATTTATAAACTTTTGAAGTATGAATACTTCATGAAGTATCAAACTAATGATGTATGAAGTGTAATTTTTGAGATATTAAAAGCATCTTCGGGTCTCTCCACACCAAACAGAACATTAGGGTTAATTAGCATTCTATGACAATAAAAACTGCAACTGTTAATGCTCACAGGCTCTGCTGAGAGCTACCACCCGGCAGGAGACAGCCGTACTAATGCTGATGGCCTTTCATTTCCTCCCTGGACAATGGCTGCCGCACTCAGGATGGGAGGGAAGAATGAGCTGGCACTGAAAGCATCTTCATACACACGTCTGCTTTGCTTCTTGGCATTGCAATGAGAGTGTATACGTCTATGAGTGTGTGTGCCACTGTGAAATAATGTGGGAGACAGTAAAAAACGAGCAAGCGAGGACTCCCTCAGAAGCAGAATACCGGGCATCCCCCTCTGCCCTCCCCTTTCTCACATCCTCTCTGATTCTTCCTCTTTTCATCTTCAGTCGCTCCACTTCCCTACTGCGGCAAACGCTTGTCCCATTTCCATTCATCACGCATTCATTCATTTACTTCACTCTCATTCGTCTGTACTCCAAAGCAAGACACCTTCATGGTCCGCTGGGAACAGCGTAGAGAGATGAAGAAAAGCAAAATGCAACTAGGTTGATCAACATCTCAGGTAGATGTCTGCGTAATGGGTGTTATGCCAAAACCAGAGCCGACAGCTCTTCGTTTATATGCTAAAGTGCCATAGGTTTCTTTTAATGAAGGCAGCTTGTGCTTGTCTACTTGTCTCTCTAGGGTAGGAAGCTCTTTATGGAGCACTAAACTTCCAGGCTCCTCCTTTAGCATGCTGAATTGATGAACAGGAAGAGCATAGCAAACATCAAGGTTACATGCCTAATGTTAACTGTTATCTGGCACATGAACTTAAAAGTTGAAAAAAGTGAAACATTTCTAAATGTGGGTGGTATTTGGGCCTTAATTACATCCATAATAAATCCACAAGACCAATAATACTTACTAATACACGCATTTTAATCTTAAAGCATAAACCTTATTAGGCTTTCTGTCAGCTTTAGTCCCTGTCATGATCAAAATGTGAGATTAACATTTCAGTTGGGTACAACATTTTGCTCATTTTAAGGTACCAGCAATTATAATTCTTGAGATATCATGCCCTAAAAACATGGCATAGGAAATAATTATGGGGCTAAAAAATATTTAAATCTGCAAGAAACTAATCCATGGATTAATTACGGAGCAACCACTCTAAAAAAACTTTGCAACCATTCAGAGCACCCTAGCAACCACACTACATTGTGCTAACAACCATTTAGAAGCAGAACATTTTTGCAACCACACACAACATCCTGGCATGGTGGTGACAATTTTTGCACAATTCTCGAGAAATATGTACTGTAAAAATCCAAGTATTTTTATTATTCATTCAGGATGAGGCTTAAAAAGAAGGTTTAGCAGTGAATGAGTGATAACTAGGGCTGACAATTTAACATGCCAATTTATTGTGATAATTTATAACAAAAAGTTTTGGGTTGGTAAGATCTTATCTCACCAAGGCTCACCATGTATTTAACCAAAAATACAGTAAATACAGTAATAATATGAAATATTATTAGAAATTAAAATAACAGGTCTATATTTTAATATGTAATTTATTTCTGTGGTGGCAACGCTGATTTTTCAGCAGCCATTTATCCATTAATCCAGTATATACTGTATATATATCAAATGGCTGCAATATAACAAAGAGTGAAAAATTTAAGAGGGTCTGAATACTTTCCGTACCCACTGTATATATATATATATACATACATACTTCTATATACCAGAAGGGCTTTACTGACGAGATGCGCATGAAAATCGCATTTGATTTTCATGTGCATCTCGTCAGTAAAGCCGCTTCTGGTGATTAGTAGTAAATCTCCAGCACGTGCTTTCAGATGGAGCGGCATTTACTACACAGAGCCTTAGATCACTGACAAGCTACACAAAATTGCGTTCACATCGACAATGAATCACCTGCGATTTTGAACGCGATTTTGTGTAGCTTGTCATTTTTTGCCCAGCCCTAATATATATATATTTATAGACTGACATGCAAAAATGCATGTCAAGCTATGGCGCAACAAAATATTATGCAATTAATCAGTTTGAATTTTGAATCGACTGACAGCCCTAGAGATAACAAGATCTCAAATCACTAAGCAATAAGAAATGAACAATGTAAAGTGTGCGTTCAGTGTTAGCTGACCCACCGGCTGGCTGTGTGCAGAACTCCACTGAGACCTCCTTCTTCTCCCTCTGCTCAAGGGGAAGCTGCCAGGGCATCTGATGGGGCCGGGCCACCACCCGTATCTTATACACTGTCATGGGCTTGAGGTTGTAGAAGTGGTATTTGTACCCTCCAGGCTTCACAACATCATACTCCACGTCGTTCAGGAAGATCATGTGGCTGTAGTTGCTGTTGCTTGGCATCCAGGTGAGCTCAGCCGATACTTGTGTGATGTTCTCCACACGAAGGTAATAGGGTGCCACAACCACATCTTTCCCCATCAGCAGTGTGCAGCGCAGCGGATCGGAGAGCCCCCGCTCCGTCATGCTCTGGATGGAGATGCGGTGCGTACAGGAGGCCAGGTTCAGCTTCTCGATCAAAGACTTGGTGCGGCCGCCGAAGGGCACGCTCATGCGTACCTCCTGATCCACCAGTACATTGTAGCCGCTGATGGATGTCCACCCGGGCAGCACCACTGGAGGCTCCCAGCTTATGATAACGCTCTTGGCCAGCTGCTTGATCAAGGTAATGCGGCGGGGGTAAGGCACAATGTCTTCTCCGATCTCATCAATGTTCACGTCCAGCGTGCCTGTGCCATTGCTGCAGGGTCCCAGAAAGTCCATGCCCAGACCCATGCTCATGCCCAAGCTGCTCACCCCACTGCTGCTGCTGGTGCCTGTCCCGGTACCCGAGCCCAGGGTGTCCAGCTTCTCTGAAAGCAGTGTGCTGAGTGTACTGACGGCACTGCTGGGCATGGAGGCGGGGCTGTGGTTGAGGTAGGACGGTTCCTTGATGCGGTCCAAAAGAGGAACTGACGGGAGCTCCTCATCCTGGACAAAGTCCACAAAGTTGGAGGGAACCAGACCCTGCTGTCCGTCCAACAACTCACCTGGAGAACAGAAAAGGGTACCTAGTGATGAATAATGGCTGCTGAAAATTCTGCTTTGCCATCAAATGATTATTATAAATAGGATATTTTAAATTACATTTTAAAATATATTCAAATAGAAAACTCTTATTTTAAATTATAATAATATTTCACAATATTACAGTTTTTACTGTGTTTTTACTTTAATCAAATAAATGCAGCCTTGTTGAGCATAAGAGACTACTTTAAAAAAAGTCCTTGACTGACAACCAAACTTTTGAATGGTAGTGTATAACTGCTCTGAAGTTGTACTGTAATGTGACATACCCTCATAGAAGCCGTCCTCATCCATGGTCCCATAAACATACAGGTACTTCCCAGTCACCAGGGGGAGCTCTGCTTCAGGATGCTCATTGGGGCCATCATAAGGGTTATAACTGCAGGGAGTACATGCTGAATTCAATTCATGAACTTCATTATTATTATTATTATTATTATTATTAAATCAAAAACCTAAAGGAGAAGTCTATACATTTTTTACATTTCAAACTAGTATTAGAACAAAATGGTGATATTACTAAGCCATTTGTGGGTTGATTTTATTTCCCTGAAAACTTAAAACACTGTAGCTCTGTGGCGGTTAAAAATCATTGCTCAAGTTTGTTCAAGCATCCTAGCCAGCCTGATATAGTGGGGTGAAACCCATTTGAAACATTATTTTTCATTATTTTTATGATACAACCTGGCCATGATAGTGGAGCAATGGAAGCCTATGGGGCAAGATGACAAGAGGAATTAAAAGCAGATGCTTACCTTACAACCTTTCCTAGTATCTTTAAATGGATATCACACAAAGTTACCTGGCTTAACAAGTTCACATGATTTTAACATAAATTGAATAGATATTTTCTGATTGCACCAAACCAGTCTTGTAAGTGTTATCATAAATGCTCTGATTATACTATCAAAAGAGTGTGAAAGTATATTTTAAAAGTTTATCTGCTGTGCTTGGTAGAGGAGTCGAAATGCTTGTCTGTGGTAATTGACAGTGTGCACAGATGTTGTTGATACACTTAACTTGTACTTAACCCAGAATATTTCTTAAAGGCAGACCCAATACAGTGACTAATACTATTCTACACCTAATCATTACAGCTAATGGCATGATATAACAAATCATTATAGCTAAGGACATGCTATAACCTATTATTACAGCAAAGTCCTATTGTAACGTACTGTAACATGTTACAACAGCTGTAGTGGATCCACTCACTTGTAGCGGGCAACACACAATCGCACTTTGCCTGTGTATCTGGACTTAGACCTGGGGGACGAGTCTTGCTCTTTGTCCATCTAAAGGAGAGAGGAAAAGTGAATAGATGAGTTAATGGTCAGCTTTACTAGCTTACAGTATTGTTGTTGTTAAGCAGCATGCTAAGCCTTGACAGCACAGGGAGTTTAATGCTTTGTTCAGACAGATTTTTTGGCGTAGCGGACTCAAATCTGTTTATTTTTTTGTAGTCTGAACAGCAACAAACCACATGAAATCCAGTGTTAACAAACCTGATCCAAACCACATTCATATGTGGTTTCAAATTTTCCAGTCTAGTCAGATCAGATTTCAGATAGCTGCTTTTCGAAATTCAGGATGTGTCTTTTGTGATGTAGATACACCAGATATTGGTGACAATTCCTGAAGCGAATCATATTTAATCAAACTGCTAAATGACACTGTGCACACTCAGACCTAAAGATCGGATTTGAAAACCAAAGCAGATTTGTGTGCAGCATGAACAACGGGTAAGAAAGTCAATGACAAATAAATGGGTTGTAAAATTGAATTGTTTTTTCAAGTTTTGATTTTTGATAAATGTTTGGGCAAAAATGGAGTTTGTAATAATTGAAAGCAAAGTCCAGTGTGCAATCAGATAATGTGGGCGATTAAGTCAATAACACCAGCAGAGCACAGTCTGAGCAGACAGATTGGACTATTCACACCTGCACACACTCTCTCTCTCACACACACACACACACACACACAGCCTGTCAATGTATACTGTAATTATTCTCATAATGGCCAAATCACTGTGGTACATGACACACTACTAGAATCTACTTTGCTCTCTTAGAATCTAGAAATATATTGGTTAGAATAGAATCTACTTTATTCTATTCTCTTCTATTCATTGACTATTTACAAACTTTTTAGTTTGATAGTCATAGTTCAGAGTCATCATGGACTCTTCACAGGCTGTGATATATTTTCAAAGTTATTAAAGGGGTCATATGATGCTATTTTAAAGATCATTATTTTGTGTATTTGGTGTAACAGAATATGTTGACATGCTTTAATGTTTAAAAAACACATTATTTTTCAAATACTGTACATTATTGTAGGTCCTCTATGCCCCGCCTCTCTCAAACACGTCATTTTCAACAAAGCCCCCTCCTTTGACAAGTGCAGTCTGCTCTGATTGGCCAGCTGACCCAGTGCATTGTGATTGGCCGAACACCACAAGCACACGTTGGAAATGTAACGCCCCTTACCATAATCGTGAGCGTCAGCTTTCAAAGTAAATATCAAGACAGTTAATAATGTCGTTAGTTTTACCATCAGTTCAAGCCCGAAAGGGCAACAGAGTCGCGTGACAGACACAGTGATGATGCAGTACACAAGCCGCAGTTAAGACAGCTGACGTGCTATGATTTCTGACAGACAGTTCACTCTCCTGTGATGTGACCCTTTTGCCCTCACACACACACACGACACGTTACTCTGCGCTGTGCAAAACTCCGCATTTGAACAGTCAATAGCAAATACTTAAACTAATAACAAATCATACTTACAGTCGCTGATTCAGACGCGTCAGATTGTCATAGCAAAGTCGGAATTTACCCTCTTTTTTTTTTAGAAATAACCTTTGTGCACAGCCAGCCTTGTACTCTTCTAGGTTAAAAAAACTGTCGTCCATAAAATGCGTTGCACAAATTTGAACATCTGGGTTGTGCTGTTCTGTTGTAAATAAATCTTAACCAATGATTCCTAATTGCATCTACTTCCGGAAGGCCAAATAAAGTGCTTTTGCTTTTGCACTGAAACACACAGCGTCTCCCTGATATGGCTGCATCAACACTACTGCTGTTCCTGAAACCACGCCTTCTTTCTTTGCGTGCACATTTGGGCGGCATTATGCTAATATTTCCACATAGTGACGTAGCTATGTGGGGGCGTGTTAGAATGAGCTGTTTTAGGTAGGCGTGGTTGACTCTTAACTTTTATAAAGAATATCTCTTTGGATTTGAGACTTTAGTCTTTGCAACTTTACAGATCTTCTTCATGCACCAAGAGCTTGTAACACTCCAAAGAGAAAGGAAAACTTGAAATCACATCATATGACCCCTTTAACATCGTAAATCTAGTACAGTTTTTAATATTTTCATTTAACATTTTTAAAAATTGAATGTACATTTATTTATAATTTATAACACTGTATGTATTATTTTACCTTTGCATTATATTTCAGAACACTGCTGTGTGGATGTTTTTAATACAACAGGTGAGGAAGTGATGGCAAATTTGACATCTTTCTCTTATCTGACCACTGTAATCAATCTAACAATGTTTTTTTCCCCTTTTGAAAAGTCATAGAAACACTATCATTGATTTTTCCTTTTGCTTTTGGAGCAAATGGGAACTCAAAAATATTTTTGTTGTAGTTTCCATTCATCCAGAAGTTTACCCAACTATGTTTCTGAGAGCCCTGGAAATGTGAAAATTAGTTTTCTTTCTTGTGTTTATTTGGAAACTGGATTATGATTGCTATTTTCTTTTTTGGCATCTATTTAGCCATCTATAGCTGCCTGTACTTGTGTCGCTTTATTGGTTGATTCTTGCATTTCATTTACATACAGAACCAAAATCTAAAGCCCATTAACACATTAACATTCTTGTGCTGGCTTGCAAACTCTGCCATTTCCTTCAGAAAATGCAATGTAATCTATTTTAAAAGATTAAACCTCAAGACTAAAATTAAACTGTAAATGGTTAACATTAAAGGTAAAATGAACTAACACTCACTGATTAGTTTGTGATACTCACAGCAGTGGAGATGACGGGCCGCACCTCTGAGAGGAAGGCTTGCCGTGGTCTGGAGGTTGTGGTGCGTGACAGGAAGGTGGGTTTGACAGACAGGAGCTCTACCTTCTCCCCCTCAGTCATCTGTAGAGGCCGAATGAGCTCTGAGATCTTACTCATCGAATCCTCATTACCTTCTCACACACACACACACACACACACACACACACACATTACTGTGTGACTGATTACTTCATTACTGTGTACAGTCTCATACCCCTATCCATCTCAACACATCAACACTGCTGTTGATCTTATCAGTCTTCAGATTTTTCAGCATTAGACATTGTTTCATATTTCCTTATGGGAAGGGTGAAGGATGAAGGATGGTAAACTAAAGGTGAGTGAATATGAAGTGAACTATAATCAATCAATACCTTACAAAGGGGTTTGGACAGAAAATATACACTACTGTTCAAAAGTTTGGGGTCAGTAAGATTTTCTTGTTTTTGAAAGAAGTCTAAGTAGGGCTGAATTTATTTGATCAAAAATACAGAACCGTAATATCGTGAAATATTATTACGATTTAAAATAATAGTTTTCTATTTTAATATATTTAAAAAAGTAATTTAATCCTGTGTTGACAAAGCTGAATTTTCAGCAGCCATTACTCCAGTCTTTAATGTCACATGATCCTTCAGCAATCATTCTAATATGCTGAACTGCTGCTCAATAAATATTTCTTATTATGATAAATTTTTGGTGGAAACTGATTTTTTCATAAATAGAAAGTTCAGACAAAACAGCATTTTTTGAAAGATTTTTTTTTTCTGATCAATTTAATGCATCCTTAGAAATGCTTAATAAAAATTATTTCTTTAAAAGGGTTTAAACTGTTTTGTATGTATTTGTCTTAACAAAATGACAAAACATATAGCATTTATTTTAAACAAATAAAGCACAAACATATTTTAAGCAGAACATTTCTTAGCTTATATATACTGTATATATATATATATATATAAATGTATATACTGTATACAAATATATTGTTATATTGTTTACAATTAAGCCAAAAAATATTTACACACTGTAAAAATTACTCCGAAAAGTGAAGTTAGTTCTGGGAACATCTAATCATTTGAATTTCTAACGCAATGACAAAAATTCCCAAAAGTTTCCAAATATTTTGAGGTTCTTGCATATTATATATCTGATATTTAGTAAATTAATTAGAATGAATAAAATAGTAAAATGTCAAATATGGATTTTCACCACCACATAATGCAATGCAGTGCAACTAAAAAATATTTAAATTTATTTATTTCCCCATGAAATCAAAATTAAAGTTTTTTGGGTGTTAGTATCAATGTGTCAGTCTTAAGGTTATCTATAAGGCAGTGTGCTCCAAAACAGTGACAAAATTCGCATTTAGAAGATATAAGCATTCAAAGCTTGCAGTTCGTCACTTCCACCAAAATGGCTCAACGATTTTTTTGACGTATTTCAGCTTCTCATCAAACTTTCTGTCCAATCAAGTGCTTTCTAGAATCCGAAGAGCCGCCCCCTACACTATAAAATAGACGCGAAGCCGCGGCTGAAATCGGTCACTTGTCCACAGAATTAGTATTTTCTGTACAGTGAATGGCACGTAGTGCACTCTATAAGGGACAGGGAACTATTCAAATAGTGTAAATATGCTTTCCATTGAGGAAAAAAAGAAGTCTGGTTTCGCGCTATCACTCTGCTCCGGTCGAGAGAAACGATAGCACGGAGCAGATCACATGCGCGAGTATCGGAGCTTTGAATTCAGAATTTGAATTTTAATTCTACACAAAATGCTATATTTTATAGCAATATGGATGAGATTGTGGCTGGTATACTCTGTCAAATGCGGTTTTACGAAGCTCAACGGCTGTGAACGGCTCTAGCCCAAGCTGTGATATAAATGAATGCTATTGGCTATTTTAAAAAGGGGCGAGGCTGCTTGATATGTCCCGCCCTGTCTTCCTGTTTCAGTTAAAATGGCGTCAACACAAAGTAACGCTGCGTGTTTCTAAGCATTTCAGGGGACCTTTAAGGAAGTGTAACACATGACCTTCTTCAGTATGCATACTGTACCTATCCCAGAGGGGGCAGTGAGGCCGTTGAGAAGCTGGGAGAGGGTGAGGGGTTTGGTGGGTGAGCCGGGCGAGTCGCCCCCTGTCAGCTGACTGCTGCTCAGGATGTCTAACTTCCCAGCCTGCAACCTGAACTTCTCCAACTCTTTTGACAGCAGGTTAAACTGCTCACTCTGTGCCCGGCATTTTTCCTCCAGTTCTCTCACTTTAGCCTGGAAAGAAAAAGAGGGAAGGAAAGAAAGAAAAAAAAGAGAAAGGCTAGGATTAAAAACATATACAGACCATTTCGGCTGGTCTGTGATAAAAGCATTGACATTTAAAACTGGTTACAGCTTTATTAACATCTAAACTTCACATTAACTAACCGATGAAAGCTAATTAATGGAGCCTACAAACTCTACCAACTGTGAATGTGGTAAGCAACCTACAATACTACAAAAAATGGCCTACATCTAAAAGGAGGTTTTTCCTACCAAAAATCGCATTGTGTTCTTAGTGCGAAGGAAACTTCTCAGCTTCAGACACCAACAGAATCAAACAAAGACAGGAGTCAATCTATGTTCAGCTGTTATTGTACATCAAATCTCTTTTTTGATCATGATGTTAGCGATGGGAAGTACTATTAAATGGAGGAGGGTACCACACATGCCAAAATAACAGTAAAAGCTGTTTATGCCTGATGATTTGACGAAACTCACATGTATATTTGTACATCAATACTATTAACCACATTAGAGGATCATGTGTGTTTGCATTTTAACAAGTCAACATACAACTGTAATTTGACCTGTTATACTAACAGTATGTCTTACGCAACATGTTTATGCACAGTTACAAGTTCGCACAAATCACTAAATATGGCTTTTTGGGCATGGAAATTAAAGGAGGGTGGTGGAAGGGAGACATGTCACGTTCTGCAATCCATCAGTTATGTTTGTTGTTGCCGATCTGATCTGCAAACGCACATATCCATGAGGTGCTAACAGGATTCAGCACAAGGCAGCACCCATGCATTGCAACACAGGAGGAGCTGAAAGGATCAGGCAGTGAATGAGAAACTTTTACCACTTAGTTAAAAGAGCGAACTGGCTTTTGCAGCACTTTCATTTGTACTTTATGAACATGCCCTCGTCTTCATTATCTAGCTTCTGTACAATCAAAAAACCTGCCTCCCAAGAGGAATGAGGGGACAACAGAATGGTTTCCAAACAAAAAAGAATAAATAAATAAAATCCACAGTTGAAGACACTTTTACTCTTGCTTTACTGAAGGTAGAGGTAACTCACAGGCAACTTTTGTCTTTGTTTTTCATTAGATAAATATCTATTTGGATGGCAACAAAGACATGCCACCACCCCAAAAAATAATATAACTGAAATAACAGTAACAAACAATTCATTGTAGAATTTAAATATGATATTTTTTATATTTAATCATTTTTTTTATTTGATATACAGGTGTATATTTTTATGCATTTATTGTTAAAAGAAGTTTAGTTTTAATTTAATTTATAGACTAATATAATTATTAATATTAGTCTATAAATTAAATAAAAACTAAATTATCCACCCAAATACTAAATATCCATTACGTTTTAATTTAATAAAATGTATATATTATTAATAATTATATTAAAACAAAAATGGTTTTCGATAATGTTCATAAATAGACAGATAGGTAGGTAGGTAGATAGTTTAATAAAATGTATATATAGCTATTAATAATTAAATAAAAAAATGTTTTTTGATAATTTTCCTGATGTTATAACATTATCAAAAAATAATACATACATAAATACATAAAATCTAAATTAAAATTAAAAAATGCAATAAAAAGCAGCTGTTTGGCTTTGAAGACAAGCAAAATGTGACCCTTAAACATTTATAAAACACATAAGCAACTTTTGTCAGGAATGTATAAAATGACTATGAAGACTGATGGTTTGTACTAAAAAGCTTCAATAATTTGATCTACGGTGATATAGATCAAAGAAATTGATCAAATGTTTACAGGTAAATCATGGATGAGCAGTACAGTAATTGACAAGACAGCTAAACGAGGTGACAGGAACTACCCCCAGTGAGTCACACGGGGAGGAGAGGGAGAACTCTGAGGAGAAGTAACTCGAAAATACCTGCATGCTGTCCAAGTGATTCTGTATATGCAAAAAAAAAAAAAAAAAAGACCAGTAACATAGTGACAAGAGATGCAAGGAACCAAACAAATCACAGTTGCACACACGAGCATTTCTACAGAGACCCAACACGAGTACAATTTCAACCCCATTTTCCCTCAATCGCCCATTAATGGCAGAAATGAATGAAAACAATAAAGTAGAATATGGTAAATAAATAATTAAATATGTATCAGAGAGATGTACATTAGTTTAAAACAATTATTAATCAAGCTGTTTAGCAAGAATATTTACACAAGATTTTTTTTTTATTTAATACATTTTTCTGATGTTTTTTTCAAATGTCATAAAATGGTGTAAGCTAAGATGTGACTCATATGGTAGCCAGCTTTTTGGCTAATATGAGAAAATATACGATGACCATAGGCGTAGCTTGTGGGGGGGCCAGGTGGGCCTGGATAATAGACTTAATGGTAATGCTTGCCTGTTGTGTGAAATAAAATGATGTTCCGCATTTTTAACAACATACACGAACTGCAGAGAAATCTGGAGACAACGAAAAACTCCAATGAAAATATTAGTGCTTAACGATTCCGGACCCGGACAATCAGATAAAGGTGATCAACAGGACGCAGCCGGTTTAGCCGCACACTACTTTTATGCCGACCATTTACATCCAAATGTTATTTAATTTTCACAGAACACAACCTTTAAATAGATTTTAGAATATAAACTGTTTATCGTCTATTCAGTAAAACTAAGTAAAAAGTGTGCGCCTCATTGCGCATTAACTAGAATCAAGCCCAACAAATGTCTGTTTTAAAAACAGTGGATGCGTAATTCACTCCTTGATTTGCTTAATAAAAGCCTCCTTTGAGATCGTTTTGACAGACATGTTTAGTGTGCATTTTAAACGTGTTTATTGCTGAGTTTAGTGTGGCAAAATAGAAGCGCAGCTGTAATTCGTGGGCAATGTATGTGGTTACCATGACAACCTCACGCACTTGCCACTGCCCTATGTGAATGGGAATATGTAGATTTACTATAGCAAAACTAAAATGTGTTTAAAAGTACGTCTGACCAAATCCACCGGTTCGGTTGGGCCCCCCCAAGCTCAAACGTCAAGCTACGCCTATGACGATAACAAATGTGGAATGTGCTATACTATCATGGTCGGCCGAGATACGATTTAAAATGCATGCTTATATGCACACTCACATACACATGCACTGACATTCATGAGTAGATATCATTACTCACCTCTAACAGATGGACGGCACCTTCATGTTCCTTCTTAGCCTCAACCTGAGCCTATAAACAACACAAAAATAATATATGACCAAGTCAGTCATTCCATACTTCATAAAAGTCACAGCCAAATATATTTCTGCATGTTCCTAGTGTATAAACATTCTATTCCCAAGTTTGGCTGAATAAGCTTTAAGCAACAAGGACTTGTGATTGGATGCAGTGCATTGTAGGGTCATTCATTGTAACTCTCAGCAGCTGTGGAAAACAGCATTCAGTTCCACATGAATAGAGGAACATCTGTTGGAGTGTCAGCCTCTGAAGTATCACAACATGAGGGAACATTTCAGAATTATGTATGGAGATTCACCTTCAGAACAACAAAACTGGGCTCTTAATGTCTTGACTTCTTCTGATGAGAGTGTGTGCCATTTCTTCTGTTTATTCTCCTCGTAATCACAGTGCTCCATTCAATAAAGACAGACAATGACTCAAATGTTTCAGAGGGTGACAATGTGCATGCATTCTGGAGAATATGTCAGATTTGATCACCTGCTCTGCCATTTCATTAGAGAGTAATTTACTCTGAGTGGTGAGACAGCGGCATTTTTCTCTTCATTCAGATGAGAAATGAGAGGAATATTTCAGAGTTATCTAAAATTGCTGAAACACTTTTTCATTAAACATCTCTCTTCATTAAGAGCACTCTGAACAGCTGGATTTTATTATTGGGTGTTTCTACAATTTTAAGCTTTTTTTTGTCATAGGGGTTGATTTTTTTTTAATTAAAACGTATTTCATCATTTATTATATGAAACTCACATTAAAATGATCTTGGACACTTTTTACTATGCCTTCATCAATAATCTCTTCAATACACCTTATATGTAAATATTTTATTGTTCTAAAGTTAGACTTTCTATCTTAAATTATGAAAACCCATCATTAAAAATAATTACATTTTTAAAATATAATTTAAACAAAGAGTGTAATTTGAATACTTATGTGATTTATATATTTTTTTATTAAACTGTCACACACAACCAACAATTTTGGCCCTAATACAGTTTTGTCAAATGATGCAAAAAGTTGGAAAATATTATTTATTTTGTATTTATTTAGGATACATATAATGCTATGAAATCAGCTATGAAGCTATGAAATCAGCCTTAGCAAAAGCCTTGTTTAAACCGATACCAGAAGCTTAAGCATGATGCACGGTCTTCTACACTCTGGCCTGTGCATGAGCTCCAAAGGATTTGGTGTGGTTGGAAACCCTGATCTCTCACCTTCTGCAGAAGGTCAATCTCCTGCTGCTTGGCACTGAGGACAGCCAAGGCTTGTTCATGCTCTAATTCTAGCTGCTGCCTCCTCTCTGCAGCCTCTCGCATATGCTGGGAAAGAGAGAAGACAGAGCAGGAGGTGAGAGGAAACTCAGCGAAGGATGAACACAGACAGAATGAGAGCAACCATCAATCATTATTAAAGGGATAGTTAATCCCCAAAAAGAAAACTCAGTTGTCATTTACTCACCCTCATTATGACTTTCTAGAGAGGAGCACAAAAGGAGATATTAAGAAGAATGTCCAAGCTGCTTTTTTCCATGCAATTAAAGCGGATGGGGATCAGGGACAGCTACGGTAATCACTGATTTCATAGTAAAACAGCAGCTTGGACATGATGTTAGATAACTACTTTTGTGTTGTACGCAATAATGTCACAGTATGGGTTTGGAACAGCATAAAAGCAAAGCTTTTTAGGTCACACAAACACTTTTAGCTGCTGTTAAAACTCAACAAAGGAGTCCCTGCACTGATCTATAGACCCTCTTTTTATATCAGCTTATAAAAGTTCAGTCTCCAGGAGCACCAGAGACAAAAATCCCTTCTAATCCATGAGTATCTGATGTAAGATTTATTTTTACCTGAGCATATCAACTCAGAATTAGGGGTCGTTCACACTGAACGCAATCAAAGACTATAGAATATCCAAGACGTGTCACTCACAGCATTTTGAATGGGGAAAAATCCAATGCTCAATATGCCCTCTCTATTGAACGAAGCACCGCCTACTGAGTAAAAGAGCCAATCGCTAATCGGTAAAGTCAGTGCGTTACTGCAGCTGCCCGAGAGGCATGCCCGAGAGGCGTTTCAAAGATGGCCACCGAGAGACATGACTTGCCTTAAAGGGACTTTGACGCAATCCACTGCACTGCTTTTTCATTGTTTTAATATCTTAACACGCATTGCGCTTATGTCCCAAGTCTTTTGCTTTGTCCCGCAAATGACACAGCCTTCACAAGGTGCTCGAGTTAAAAGTAGTTAAACTGTTTAAAATGTGTCTAGATGCTGCACTTTTTAAATTCATTGTAGGGCTGCACAATAAATCGCATGTGATATCTTGTCAGAAAGCCGGTTCTGTAATCAGCGGTAAATCTCCATCACGTGCGTGCTTTCACATTGAGCAGCGTGTATTTGCATCGTTTGTATATGTTTTAGGCAATATAAAAATCCTGGCCAGGACGTGTCCCATATGAACGGCGCATATGGCCACCCTAATCCTAGGTGTACGTGACTTTCTTCTTTCAGACGAATACAATCTGAGTTATATAAAAAATGTCCTGGCTTCGAAGCTTTATAATGTCCTGGCTTCCAAGCTTTATAATGGCAGTGAATGGTGGTCGAGATTTTGAAGCAAAATAAGCCCTATTCAGACAGTAATTGTTTCTCAGGGAGTCGTAAGATATTTTCACCATTTACATTCACCATCCAACTACCTGCGTAAAAATCCCCTGTCTAATTTCCTACTGTTTTTTTTTGACAAACACCAAGGTCATGTGGTGATTTAATTACCGTCTGAATCCTCATGTTTGAGTTTACAAAAATAAATCAATAGCTTACGCTTCGTCTACATCCTACGTCATCTGCTGGAACGCCACTCTCTCGTGTACGCACATATGACAGTTAGTAGAAGCTAGAGATTTCGGTTTATGTAGTTACAAATATATTTTTCTGACACAAATGCATCTATTCACTTCAGACGGCCTTTATTAACCCCCTGGAGCTGTGTGGAGCACTTTTTATGATAGATGGATGTACTTTATTGGTCTTCAAAATCTCAACACCCACTCACTGCCATTATAAGGCTTGGAAGAGCCAGGACATTTTTTAATATAACTCCGATTGTATTAGTCTGAAAGAAGAAAGTCATAAACACCTAGGATGGCTTGGGGTAATTTTCATTTTTGAGGGAACTATCCCTTTAATACCTTCAGAATATGGACACTTATTTGTCGTCTTCTACTGAGCTTAAATGTTATTTTTAAGGAAAAGTACATCCAAAAATTTTTCTATAAAGTCAATCAAAACCCATATGTTAATTCTTTAAAGGATTTTCAGTGAATTTAACTGAGTCAGGGTAGCACCATATTTAATTTTTAAAAGGAATCAAATTGAGGCTGTAAAGGATTGGACAGTGCATTAAATGGATTGGTATTTAACAAAATACTGATTGTGCAGCTGACAAAAAGTCTTTCAGAAAAAAAAAACCTTGCTTTAGACAAAAACTCCATAGAACAGTTTTTTAAGTTGTGGATGTGGCCTAATGGTTAGACAGTCGGACTTAATAGTTAGAGAGACGGACTTGTAACCCAAAGGTCGCGGGTTTGAGTCTTGGCACCTGCAGAGATACTAGGTGGGGAGAGTGAATGCCCAGCGCTCTCGTCCACCCTCAATACCCACAACTGAGGTGCCCTTGAGCAAGGCACCGAATCCCCAACTGCTCCCCGAGTGCCACAGCAAAAATGGCTGCCCACTGCTCCCGGTGTGTGTGTTTGTTCACTACTCACTGCTGTGTGTGTGCACTTGGATGGGATAAAAGCAGAGCACAAATTCACAGTATGGGACACCATATTTGGCCACACGTCACGTTCACTTTCACTTAAAGTTGAGTTGTGAAAATGATGTGATTTAGGACCTTTATACATTATTTATACAGCCATAGTAAAGAATGTAAGTCTTTCTCTCACAGCCTTGTGTTAAAATTAATAAGGCATCTAACCTGACTAAGCGCTATAACAACTAAATTTCAATCTGTTCACCAAACAAAGCTATAGTACAAGTTTAGAAGACTTGAAATAGACACAGTCACAACAAACTGTTGTTGCATGGTTTTGAGCTGCACTTCACAGCATATGGTTTTGAAATGACATGAAGGTGAGTAAATAATTATAGAATCCTCATTTTTGGGTGAACTATCCCTTTAAGCACGGAAAACAACAGCAAAATGTTGTTGTAAATCAGGTTTATGTAATTTGCTTCACCCCTTCAGATAAAGCAAAAACAGAAGTGAAGCATCATGTCAATCAGCCAGACTAAGCACAGCCATGGAGCTTCACATGATCAATAAAGGGCTCAAGGGTCATGGCTCTGTACATGAAAGGGTGTGTGCAAACAACACAGCATGTTCAATCAGCACCATTACTGCCCAACAACATCCCTAGAAGCTCTTCTGACCTGTTAAAAGTACACAGTGACAAAACCTAGCAATTTTCTTTCCATTTGTGACAGGTGAGGTTACAGGGGATAAAGGGTAAAGGAAGGATTTTCCATGCTGCAATGAAAGAGGAGTGCAGGGAAGTGGAAGGTTAGAATAATCTAACCTTCAGAGGACAAATAAACTGTACTGTGTGTGAAATGTGTTACAGTTATCTGACCATCAATTGCGAGTGAAAATCTCTATGCCTACTAACAATGGGACAAATTATCTAATAATAATCAAAAGTGCCTGACTTTTATGCCTCAATGGATTATCAGTACTTATTTATCACTGCTGATTTATTCAAGTACTTATTTATTGAAAAGAGTAATCATTTTAACATATATAAATATTTTGTCAATTTATTTATTTACTCACTCATTCATTCATTCATTTGTATTTCATTACACCAAATACACAAAATAATGTTCTTTTTAGCAGCATCATATGACCCCTTTAATGTATTTTTATTTATTATTTTCATTTTCATTTTTGACGAACAGCTGTGTTATAAAACTTTTTTTTTAATGAAGATGCCTCAATATTATGTTTTAAGTTAAATATTTAATGGATAATGTTCAGTCGTCCAGTCATAATTGCAAAATAAACTCCTTCAAGAGCTCTTAAGGAAATATTACCACTCCGCTCCAACTCCGCTCCGCTCACATGCTCTGTTCAAGATCATATAATGATAACAATGTTGCAGTTTATTTTGCAATAACGAGGCATCTGTATAAAAACTAGACAATATAACTACAGAATAAAAATGTATAATCTAAACCATTAAAATATTGTGATAAATATTGTGATAGTACTAGATTACTTTAAAAAAAATCAAGACTGATAGTTTCAACATATTTCACACTTTGTACATTCAGCAAAACTGTCACCTCATAACTGAAAAAAAAAATCAAAATATTTTTAAGAATATTAACAGCATGTATATCTCACATTCAAAAGAAGAGCTGGGTTAGTCTCTTTTGTGAGGGGAGGGTGTAATTGTGCATAACTGTTGTGTCATGCACAAATGCATTCCACAGTGCCTCAGCCGGCCGACCATTCAGATCACATACAGCATCCAGATCAGCTGTTAGTACACAGTCAAAAGGTCCACATTCAGTTAGTGCTGACTTCTGTAAAGTCTTTAGAGATACCTGATGAATGAAAAATATAGAGGGAGGCAGGGAGTGGGGAGGGGCAGGAGAGTGTTAGACGTTAGGGGAGGGGTAGGGCGCTCCAGGACTCCTAGTCGATCACAGATCCACACTTTGAGGGCGTACGACAGCTCTAAAACCATAAAAGAGTAAGAGGGAAGTAAAAGAGGTGAAAAAATAGATGAAAGTGGAGGTCATGATCTAAATCGACCTTAAACATGGCCAGCCAGGTTTCCTGAAACATATGTCATGAACTTGGACACTGAGAGAGTTCACACTAAGAAAAAGGACTATAACTTTTTCACTCGCCACCACACAGCTTGACTTAGTCAACATATATGAAGGCTAATCAGGTAACCAGTCAAGAAAATGTAGATCGTAATTTTTATTTCTTACTCCAAATTGATGAAAAAAATAACATTTTGATTTTAGGTTGGAATGCCTTGATAAGGTGAATTTCAAACACATAACATATCACCCAGGAATAAAAAAAAATATATATATATATATATATTACACTTCAGTGCCAGGCGCGAGTCAAGCGAGCGCGGAAACGGTACTGTTCGCGCAGCGCGTGCTCTTCAATTGCACGCACAAAGGTGCCGGCGCGCTCTGTAGCCTGTATCCTTTTCATATCAACGTGTGAAATAAACTACATGCATGCTGTCATGTTCAGTTAAGTCATGAAGTGACCAAAAAGGCGATTAAAGCTACCTTAAAACTGTGCATGCATGTAATATATTTTCTATGAGTCACATTTAAGAACATGTCTCTGAAATGGTTTTCAAAACTGTCCTGGAGCAGCCCAGCACTGTCTCACTCAACTAACACACCCGATTCAACTCGTCAGCTCATTAATAGAGACTTTTGAAGTGGGTCGGAAAAGGTAAAAAGAGTTGGGTTTATAATGGGTTTATGTGAAGATTGTTTTAAGTTTACTTAAATTAGAAGTATTTTTTTTGTAGTATTGGTATCAGTGATACTGGCCTTCAGTCATAAAAAAGATACCATTAAACAAATATTATAAAATATACGGTCTTTATGTTGTTTGTACATTCATTTGAAGATTGAATGTGAAATTATTGCAATACAAAAGTATATTAAAAAACTTAATATTAGGTAGGATTCATTTCAGAAAAATGCGATTAATTTGTTTTTTTTTTATCGGTTGACAGCACTAATATATATATATATATATAAAATTATATTTATATATATTATTATATTTTCCATAATGAAAATGAAGCCTATTTTATGGCCATTAAGAGTTTTTATATTGTGACATTATTTTTATGACAATTATGCACAGACAAAATTCTTATTAATATAATGTGAAAAAAGGTCATTTTCAATACTGTAATTATTTAGTTGTATTATTTAGGAAATATTGATATATCACTATAGATTAGATAGATAGATAGATAGACAGACATTAGATAGATATTTTTAATAATACAATGTTTTCTTAACGTAATACTTTATTTGATAGTCATGAAAATAATCTTACAATGCAAATGTAAAGCATTGTAGAAAAAAATGTCCAAACACAGGCTTCATTTTCTTTTTCCATAACTTATATTTTTCCTTCGATTATGTGATTTACACTGACGCGTCCGGCGGGTTCTCACCTTCAGCACCTGCTCTAGGTTCTCCAGTTTGCCTTGGAGCTCAGTCCTCTCCAACAGAGCACAATCTCTCTCCACTGTCACAGTGTACAGAGCCTCCTGCAGCTGTTCATACTCACTTTTCACCTGATAAAGAGAGAGAGAGAGCGACAGAGATGAATCAAAAACGCCTTCAGTCTTACACAGTTTGCCCTCTGACCTCTATTAGAACGGTAAAAGGTCATTCTATTCTGCCAAAAAAAATTTTTTTTTAGGTTTTTAGATTACAAAAACACATGGCCTAATGGTTTGTGGACATGTTTGACACACTGGTACTCATGCAAATGACACATTTCTAGGTCCCATTCGCCAATCATTCCCTGTTCTCGGTCTCTTTAGGCCACATTTATTAAAAAATTAAGTATGATTTTATTTCATTAATGTCACAAGGATAAAACAAAACAAGTTTACTTAATTTACTTCATACCAACTATTAAAGGGATAGTTCACCCAAAAATGAAAATGTGATGTTTATCTGCTTACCCCCAGGGCATCCAAGAAGTAAGCGACTTTGTTTCTTCAGTAGAACACAAACGAAGAATTTTAACTCAAACTGTTGCAGTCTGTCAGTCATATAATGGAAGTGAATGGGAATCACGGCTTTTAGAGTAAAAAAAACATACACAAACAAACCAAATTAAACCCTGCGGCTCGTGACGATGCATTGATGTGTAAAGACACAAAGCGATCGGTCTGTGCAAGAAACTGAACAGTTTTTATATTGTTTTTACCTCTGATTCACCGCAATGTCCGAACTATCTGTCCTGAGCGCGTTCTTCTCAACAGCCGGCGCATGAGGCGTCTTCTTCTTCTTCTTCTTGCTTTACGGCGGCTCGCAGACTTATAAGTGCATTGCCGCCACCTATCTCTCAAATGGACCATTGACACTCTATCTACAATCTCAATTAGGAGTGTCAATGGTCCAGCTGTTGAGAAGAACGCGCTCAGGATGCGCTCAGGACAGACAGTTCGGACATTGCGGTAAAAATCAGAGGTAAAAAACGATATAAATACTGTTCAGTTTCTTGCACAGACCAATCGTTTTGTGTCTTTACACCTCAATGTATGGTCACTAGCCGCAGGGTTTAATTTGGTTTTGTTTGTGTATGTTTTTTTGACTCTCAAAGCCGTGATTCCCATCCACTTACATTATATGGCTGACAGACTGCAACGGTTTGAGTTAAAAATCTCTGTTTGTGTTCTACTGAAGAAACAAAGTCACCTACATCTTGGATGGCCTGGGGGTAAGCAGATAAACATAAAAGTTTCATTTTTGGGTGAACTATCCCTTTAAGGTGAGCGTTTAAACCAGTAGTTATGAGTGTCAAACTTTCTGTGGTGGTTGTCTTTGGTTCTGTAGTAGTGTAGAGGAAAATCATGTATGAATAAGACCATCTGGACCCATGTGGCCACAAGGCTAATAGGTGAAGCTTTTGAACACAGTTCACAACATCCAGCATGCTTTCATAAACAGCAGGGTCTGAGAGGGCAGCTCTAGAGGCTCCAGGCACCTCCAGGCACATCTGCTCCACTGTTACCTCAGAATATATAAGAGGTTTCTTCAAAGGATTCAATTATGCCACTAAATACCCTGCTCAATTGAAAATGACATACTCTGTTTGTCATTATCCACTGATATGCGTAATATGGAGTATGTGTAGTCAGCACTGAGCTTTGGGGTGAGAGTCGTGTTTTTAGAGAGTGAGAGCAGAGGGGTTGATGTCCTGTATCGATCGTAGCGTCAGTCATGATAAAAAGCTGAGCTGTTAGAGACAGAGGCAGTACTCACACTCCACGTCTGTCCAGTCTGACACTCATCTCTTATCTGCAACCTGACCTGAACACCCACTGCAACAGCAATTACAGCTGAACACGCTTGTTCTAGAGGAAATATGTTTGAACAATTACACTTGTATTGTTGATTCTTATGACATTCAAGCAGCATGTTGTTGGACAGTGATGATGGTGGTGGTGTGCAAATGACCTTCATGAACAAATTAAAGAGAGCATGATGTCAAGGTTAGGCCATACTTCGTTTTTTAGTTTTTTTTACTGAAACATATTATGATGGTGGAATGCAAAATCATTTTTTTTAATAATCGTTTAATATGAAAATTTTACAACTTTTCTCACCTTTGAAAACAACTACTTCTGGCATAACCAAGGTCTTATATTATATATATAAAAAAAATATATATTAACCAATAATGTAAAAATGTATAATTTCACGATTCAACTATATCTGATCAAGCTCCTGCTTTGTTATTTTCAGTTTACATTTGCTTTATTTGTTTAAGGCATTGTGCACCCTGTTTATAAGGCAGTCTAAATCACATTGCCAACATTTGCATACTTTAGGGGGAATATTCATTCTAAAATGCAAGAAAAATCTACAGAGACACAGATTAAGCCTAGTCCTAAATGAAAAAGGATTTTTAATGGAGAAAACCAATTTATTCAGTAAATCAGTACGACGCATGGCCTTATGTGCACTTAGGAATTAGAATGTTATTTTAGTATCATTGAGATATAGTTTTTATTAATATTTTAAAGTAGTTTTTATTTTTATTTACATTTTTATATTTTGTGTTTTCACTTTAATTAAAGTTTTAATATTTTTGATATTTGTATTAGTTTTTAAAAAAATGTCTATATAGTTTTTTTTGTTTTTTTCATAAATAAAATAAAATAAAATAAAATACATTTAACTGTAATGTCTTAAATCAGTGGTCTTTACCAGGGGAATAATTAATTACTATTTGATCACAATTTTTTTGAAACACAAAACTGTAGTTACATTAAAAAAACACAACAGTAATATTACCAAAGAAGAAGTTATAATCAAGGTTTCTTTTCATAAAAGGGTTAAAAAAAATTTCACAACATATTTTGTGATATACAAAGTTTCAAACATTGTCTGAAATAGTACAAGCTATAATAGGTAGGTATTAAAAAGTAGTAAGAGCATTTTCTTTTTTAAATAAAAGAGTCCGCAGTATGCAGTTAAGTGCTAATGGAAGAGATGAGTTTTCAACTGTTTCTGGAATATTGTCAGGGACTCGGCTGTCCGGACAAGGTTAGGAAGATCATTCCATTAGCAAGGAACAAATTTTAATGGCTTTTCAGTGTAAGCTTCATACCAAGATATGTCATTAATACAAGTACGCATGTTATTATAGGCCAGGTGTGAAATAAAACCGTTAATTCTCTGGCAACCTCTCTGCATACCAAAGGGTTTTTGTTCTAAAAAACATTGAAGACACTGATCTTTAATGGTCCTCCTCTGCTATCCAGTGATGCTGAGCCACAAACTGGATAGACACAAGTTGTGTAGATGGAACAGCTGCCATCTTAATGACTACCATTCTGAGCGCTGGGACAGAGCTGTAGATTCAATGATGTCTCACTCTGTAACAGCTATTTGAGATGGTGCGGGGAGTGGGGGTAAACTCACAAAATAAGTGATGCATGAAGGACAGTTCTTTTCAAGCAAAAGCAGGCTCACATGACTCAGAGACGTCACACCATTACTGTTCTCAGTTTAGCATTGTATACTGTAAGGAGCTGTTAGTGCTATAGTCCCAATATAAAGCCTGATTGAAACTCTGCAGGCTGTACATACACTACACTATTTTTTATTTTATACCTCCTTAAACAATATCAAAATGAAGTTTAATTAAAAAAAATGTATTTGATTAGAAGATGTATATTAAAGTCACTGTATGTATGAACTGCAATTTTAATGTATTTTAAATTAATAGATAGGAGAGAACAATTTTGCCTCCCTGCTTCCACTATTCTGGGAAGGTTTTCCACTAGATGTTGAAACACAGCTGTGGGGATTTACTGTCATTTCCTCCCAAGTTGTACTTCTGTATGCGTTTCTTTCTTCTGTTGAACACCAATGATGATATTCTGAAGAATTTTGGTAACCAAACAGTAGATGGTAGCCATTTACTTCCATTGTATTTTTTTCCATTCTATGGAAGTCAATGGCTACCATCAACTGTTTGCTTACCAACATTCTTCAAAATATCTTCCTTTGAGCTCAACAGAAAAAAGAAACTCATACAGGTTTGAAACAACTTGAGGGTGAGTAAATGATGACAGAATTTCATTTTGGGTAAAATATCCCTTTAAGCAAGACAAATGCATACAGTATACTACTAGAACTCATAAACCATAAACTATGGGAAGCGTTATACTGTATTCCTTCTAAATAAATACACTTATAGACTTTCTGATGAATTTGAATTACTGGGGTTCCTTTATTTATGCTGTCTTTTCTTTCCCTCGCCTTTCCCTTCTTCTGTATTGCTATCGTCCTCATAGGTACTGCATTCATAAACGACTAATGAGGGAGTAGGGATCCTGTTTTGCAACAGCGTTTGACAACACACCTACTCGGACGTTTCGGACGTGGCCTACATTCGAACAGCTCAGCAGGAGGACACTGCTCTGCCAGGATGGGATGCCAAGATGTGCTTCCAACTAAACACTGACACAGACATGACTAAAAGATTAACTATAAGCAGGCTACAGGGGTGCTGATGCTAGCAGGCATAAATCTGAGATAACAGATCACACTTGCAGGTGTGAGACAGAACTAGGGGAGATTAGAAAAATGCACATCGAAGGAAGACCAAAGTAGACGATTATAGTTCACAGGTGCAGCATCAGAAGACATAAGCAATGGAGCCCAATGCATACGTGCTGTTGTATTATATGATTTGCTGTTTTATATTTGAATATATTTGCTAATTTATTCCTGTGATGCAAAGCTGAATTTTCAGCATCATTACTCCAGTCTTCAGTGTCACATGGTCCTTCAGAAATCATGCTAATATTCTGATTTCCTGCTCAGAAAACATTTATTATCAATGTTGAAAATAGTGTTGCTGCTTAATATTTTTGTGGAAACCACGATACACTTCCATTCAAAAGTTTGGACTAAAATAAAATGTAAAAAAAAAAAAGAGTGCATTCATACTTTATAAAGTTATACAATTCTTCCATTTAAAATAAATGTCTTTCTTTTACAT